CCTCTCTATATCCTTGCTGAAGGCCTGGATGCCCTCCTGGCTCTGATGCAGGGGTTTAAAACGAAGCTATTATCAGGAAAGTACGATAGTATCTGCCAGCCATGACAAGTCAGTCTTTGAGGCTTTGAGTAGTACCTCATAAAAATTTTAAAGTAACTATGCCATTGCTTCAGTTTAGGAAGATTTTAATCCAAAAATTTAAAGGTAACTGTTATGCACAGAAGAGGAAGAAGAGGAAATCTACTATAGAATGCAATTCTATGAAAATAAAGGTCATCTAAAGAGGATGGACATTACATTATGAGATCAAAATGAAGTCAGTGTAACATCGTTAATATCAAAGAGTATTCTCACACATACACAAACAAAAACAGTCATTATTATGAACGGACCTTATACTAATTACCTTAATTTCATCCTGCTACATCATATCTTTGACTGTTAGGTAAGGTTTGGTGCTGTGTATTTGGTCCCTTGGTTCATATGCTATGAATATTTCTATATTTATTATATCTTATTCATTTATCTGTGTGTGTGTGCATGCACATGAATTCATATTTGTGGAGGGCAACTCAGGTTGGCAGACTGACATTAGGCACCTTTACCCACTGAGCCATCTTGTCTCCCCTCTGTGAGTATTTTTAATCATCAAAACAAGTCTCAGTTTGAGTCTGAAATATATCTCTTCACGTTGCGCAAATAAGACATTTGCAGGATTATTTCTGTTGTCAGTCACTTCCAGAAACTTGTTGTGAGGAACAACATGATGACAAGTACAGGAAATGAACCACTCACCTTCTGATTTTCATAAATGCCCTCAAATTTAAAGCACACGCATACTTGAACATCAATTTTTCCACTGAAATTGCCTATTCCTGAAGCACCACTGCTTCCCATCCTGCTGCAGCTTTTGTTAATGGTGGAAACGTCCATGTGTTTGACAACTATAGAATTTAAGTTGCGGTTTGGAAGATGGATTTTGTTATTGTCAAACTGAGCATTAGAAATATCATAGGAAATACTCAGGAGCCTTAGATAATGTGGTGAAAATGCTGCTAAGACGGTGACATTTTGCCTTTCCTTCCTATCCCTGGAACAAATTCATCTTCTCCCTGGGGTAAAGGTAAGAATAGCATTGTTCCCAGACAAGGTTTTCTGTTGATGGGGAGAAGCCGTGTTATGTCTGGAATTCCAAAGAAAAGAACAGTTTTGGTTTTTAGGCAAATCTATTCACATTTATATACTTTGGATTAAATAACTTAAATATGTTGTTTTTCAGAACTAATTTTAAGTCAAACATGTTGTTGATGTCTCCAGGAAAGACATTCCTCTTGAAAACAAAAGCTCTTTAAAAATGGCATGTGCTTCAACTAGTTCTACACCAAAAAAATAAAAAATAAATAAACAGCCTCTCTCTCTCTCTCTCTCTCTCTCTCTCTCTCTCTCTCTCTCTCTTTCTCTCTCTCTTTCTCTCTCTCTCTCTCTCACACACACACACACACACACTCTCTTTATCTCTCTCTCTCTCTCTCACACACACACACACACACACACTCTTTATCTCTCTCTCTCTCTCACACACACACACACACACATCTCTCACACATGCACACACACACACACACTAGCAATAAGCAGCTTGTGGTAAACTAAAGGCATTAAATGTGCCCATAGAGTTAGTGATCAGATCGTGTCACTGAAACAATAATGACAATACAGCAAAATATAATATTATAACACATACATAGTAAGAGTGACATTTAATCATTTGAGTTCTATAAAACAGAAATTGCTTATATATTTGAAAGCATGAAAAATATTAAGTGTACCTAAATAATAGTAATATTTTTCTAACAAGATAGGGGTTATTTATTGAAAATACATTAGTAACACTTCCAATAATTATTTAAGAAGTTATTTTCTAAAATATTTTCCATTTAACATGGCAATAAGAAACTCTATCTTACATATTCAAACTTATAAAATAAATTTTTACAATTATTATATTTACATAAAAGCATAAAGACTAATCAAAAAATTAGTAGAAATAAGGCTGCCAGTTTCCATATCCATCATCTAACACATTCTAGAAATGATAATCACTCACTAAGTTGAAATTAAAAAGATAGAGAAAAATAGAAAATTGTTGTAAACCTATCTGTATCATGTTCTTAGCTTCCAATTTTGCCTAAATTCTAGGTATATTTTCCCATCAAGTAATTGTTCTTCATTTGTTAAATTGGTTAAAATTTTATTATCAGACAGAATTTGTCTTAGATTGGCCTTGAGCACTCCTTCCCTGTCTGTCCTTGTCGTGGTCATAGTCACTAAATACAGACTTCCTCAGTCTTCAAATTCCCAGATTGGTTAACTCAAACTCTTATGTAATGGCTGATTTGTCTGAGACCTTACCCTAGAAGAAAGCAGGGTAAAGTTCCATAGCTCAGCTATCAGCCTACCTTTGCCATGGAATCTGAGCTTACTTTAGCTCCCAGATCCAAAAACCCAATGCACCCAGTGTTCTTCAACCTCAGACTTCTATATCCAGGAGTGTGAAACTAAGTACTACAGGCAATGGGTTAACCAATCTGGGAATTTTTTAGTTTTGCTGACCAAGGGGCACACAAATGGAAATTCAGTTCATATATGGCTGCAGGCCCTTTAACTTTAGCGTAGAGAGTCAAAGTGTTACCTCTTAAGACCTAGCATATTTGCCATAGTAACAAAACTGTGATGAGATTTCCCATCTAACAGCAACACAAAATCAAGCCATCTGCCAGCATCATGCATTCAAGACTTGTGCCTCCTTGTAGCGTGTAGTCTTCCTGCCAGCTGTCTCAGCCCCCAGATAACACACGAGATGCTCTATTAATTATGAGCTGTTGGCCCTTTGCTTGGCTTCTTACTGGCTAGCTCTGACTTAAGTATTTAAGCCATAACTGCTAATCTAATTATGTCCATGTGGTATACTCTCACCAGAGCAAGGGTCCGGGCATGTTACTTCTCCTGAGTACTACATCGTGACTGCTTGTGTCTCTCTTTCCCAGAATCCTTCTCAACTCCTAGTCCCACCTTTCTTGCTTCCTTATTGGCCAACAGTGCTTTATTCAACAACCAATAAGATAAGCACATATACAGGACATCCCCCATCACCTCCTACCCTCAAACCAATGTTTATCATCAGTACTACAGTTTCCTGAACCCTGCCTGTCATTTCCTGCTTGTCATTCTAAGCCTACCACCTCCTGAACAGGAGACTTCATGCTTACTTGTCTTCACCTGATAGTTGGAAATCAGACATGAGCTTTCATCCTACCCAGGGCCTTACAAACCTCATCTTCCATGAGTACTATCCCTTGATCCTACAGTAGACCTGCTGATTCTCCTTCACCTCTTTTTAGCATTTGTAGCATGTAGATGGGCACAAGCCATGCTCATGTACTCCAAATCATGCCTACAACAATCTGTGTGTGTGTAGCTAGATCTACCAACATACTTGTTTTACATAAAATGGAAGACATAATAGGACCACTGTTCTCACATTCTCTCGCCTACTCAGAAGGAGTCTGGATACAAGTCATAAGCTGTCCTAGAGAGTAGCCCATATGGTCAGAACCTGGTATCTGGTGGTGAGGATAAGCAGTGTTCCAAAAATCATCTTAGGAGTGCAAGCATGCTGCCTTAGTTTTTTTTTCCTATTGCTGTGATAAAATGCCCTGACGAAACCAATTTAAGGAAGAAAGGGATTGTTTCAGCTCACAATTAAGGGAGGCACAGTCCATAAATGCTGAAAAGTCAAGAAGCTTTAAGCAGCTGGTCACATGACATCTGCCACCAGAGGAGAACTGTGAAGTCATTGTTGCTACTGCTTAGCTTATAATCTCCATCTTTCTTATAAAGTTCAGGGAAACGGTACCACATATAAATAAGATGGGTCCTCCAACATGAGTTAACACAGTCAAGACAACTGGCCAATCCAATCTAAAAATCTTCTCATTGCGACTCTCTACTCAGGTGACTCTAAATTCTGCCCAGTGAGCAGCTACATTTAGCATCTCACACATCATGAAGTCTGTAGTTCAGAAGACATCTGATTTATCCATAGAAAGATCCAGAGTGAATTCCACTCACCTAAAAAACTCCAGGATCCTTGACCAGGGAGATGTAGGTTTATTTAACATTGTTAACTTTTGCTACCTCATAATTACTATGATCTGATTCTATCCACCAATCTCCTGCCCACCTGCCTGGCATCTGTTACCGCCCCTTCTGGTATTTTCAGATACAGTATTCAGGCATCTCTAAATGCACAATTCTATCTTCACTTGAGCAGCCTCTGCTCTTAACCACTGAGCCATCTCTCCAGCCCAAAATCATAGGTTCTACTTTTTTTAAAGATTTATTTATTATGCATACAGTGTTCAAACAGCCTCTGCTAGAGCCAGTCTCTACAGTGGAATCCATTTTTGTTGGTCCTTTCCCACCATGGAAATCCTCCTCACCTACCTAGTAGTAGGGGGCCGGGGTGAGCCGACTTGTTTCGAAGTGTAGAACTGCAGCCACCATGAGAAAGCCAAAGGGAGAGATGGGTCACAGTGAGAGAAGGGGATTAGGCATCACAGACGTCCTGCATCCCCAACCTATTGCAAAGCCAAGTGCAGTTCACGCTGCACTGCAGTGTCCCCTCTCATCCAGCCACCAGCTCCCTCCTTTCTTCACCTATTTGAGCTCCAAAGGGAAGGAAAAACAAAGATCCGTAGCAGTGTAATTTACGCTACACTTTATTTGGTTGATATCTGTATTCTCCATTTCATTGTAGAAGTGATGGAAGAGCAATAAATCAGTTTCTTAAACCCCAAAACACATGGACAGTTGTGTGATTTGACAATTTGCACTTTTCCATTCTTGATACTCTAAGCTGCTTAATTTCTGGAAGAGAGTTTGGCTTAAATATGAATAATGTATCTTATTGCTAGGGCAAATTAATTGACAAAAGCAGCTGATGGAAAGAGGAGTTTATTTTGGCTTACAGTTTTGAGGGGACACAGTCGGTCATATGAGGGAAAGGACGGTGATGGGAATGTGAGGAGTCAGAGGACACGATGTCTGTAATCCAGAAGGAGAGGAAAACAAATGTTCATACTCAGCTCACTCTTTCTTTTTCTCTTCTTTTCACTTGTAGAATGGCACCACCCACATTCAGGGTAGGACTTCCATCCTAAGCAAACATCTCTAGAAACTCTCAAGACCTTTCCAAGTGTGTCTCCTAGGTGACTCTAAATCCAGGTAACCTGATAGTGAAGATTAACATCATACAGTTAAGTAAAAAAATGAACGACACTATTATTTTTCTTCATCAGTATGCAATCATTGTACACGGTACCAGGTTGCGTAAGGAGAGTTTCATACATAGAATATACCATGAAGATATTCAAAGGTTTAGCCACCCTCTCTCCTCCCCATTGCCAACGCTGCCTGCCTGTCTATGGGCTACTTGGTACCTGCCACCTCAGCAGTTTTCCTCTATGGCAGCCTTGTATTCCTGGGCTGTGCTCATAAGAAGTGAGTCTGTAGGTACTTCCGACGAGATGGTGTGTGTAGTTTCATTTTGATAACCTAGTTGCTGATGAAGCCACCTCAGAATCAGCTTCTCCATAGGCAGTGCTAGTTCTCTTGTCTTCAGAGCCCCAAAGAGAACAGGCAATTTCCTGTGCATGCACATTAAAGAGAACAAAAACAATCCGATGACTATGGAACAGCTATGAAAGTCCCAGTGGTTCCTTCACCAAGACAAGAGTGTGCCGTCACTCTGAGTTACTCATTTTAGAGGACTGTAGAGGTCGCTGTTCATATAGCGTACAGTTAATAGAACATCCAGGAAAATCCTTGTTTCCCTTTAAGTCCTGCTTCAAGTAGTTCTACACCCCTACAGCTAACTCCAAAGCATGACCAGAAACCTTTTGGTGGGAAGCTGGCCTCAAACCCCCATTCCTCCTGCTTCAGTGCCAAGGTCACAGCGTGTACCACCACTTCTGCCTGGAAGCAGACGCTGACGGCCAAGGTCTCCATTATTAGAGCTCATTGAAATGTCTAGTTGGTTAAATACAATTGGAATAAGGAAAATAAGCCTGCTGTGGAAATTCTACTTGATGTCTCCTAGGATACTCTATTCTGAACTGCAAAGAGTTCTTCCCTTCTTTAAAAAACAGACTTCTATTCACTGCTAGTTAATTATGCCAAGCTTTTCTATTTTTTTCTTTCTAACCTTGAATGCTTTGTACCTCGTTGACCACTTCTGATATCAGAAGAATGGAATGGGGAAAGAGAAAACAAAGAAAATAATTGCAGAAACTCATTGCAAATGGCACACTGCATGAAATAATGCCCCTTGTTGGTGCTTTACTTGTGATTGAATTGTTTGAACCTCCAACTATAACAGTGTTTTCTCTGTGACTAAATAATATAAAGTTTCATAGATGCCTTATGCACTGGCACTCACAGGAAGCTCGGGTGTGCTCACATTGGAATTCCGGATATGTTTTTAATATTGTGTCAAATAGTTCTGTGAACAGTTTTAAGTCTATAGTCATACATAATTTTCTTTTACCAAAATTTAGGCAAAAACATGGTAAAGAACGAAACACAAAAATTATTTAAATGCTACAACAAATCATTAGAATTCATATTAGAGCCTAAAGTAGCTGAATTACAACTTACTTTAAATTATTTACAAAGGACGTGTGGCTTTTCTGATTTTACTATTTCCTGTAAGCAGAAAAGAATTGATTGTGCTTTGCTCCTTGTGATTATTAAGCCTACCAAACCTTCATTATATTGGAAGTATAGACTGTAGCTAGCAACCATTTTCACTGACAGATATTCAGATCTTAGATTCTCTTATAACTATACCTCTAATTACAAGCCATGTGCCAACTACAGAATCTGATTGTGTGTATAAAATAAGTCAATAAGACAGAAACAATGCCGTATGAATGATTTAGCAAAAAATAATACCAAAAGCCAAGGATTCAAATTTTGCTGTCTTGCAAGAGCATGCGATCTGAAAAGGGGACACTAGAATGCACACCTGTAATTGCAGCACTCAGGAGAGCACGGCCCCTGGGATACACACCTATAGTCCCAGAACTCCAGAGCAAAGATGGCACCAGGCTGGTAGGCAGAGGGAGCTCCATGTCAGTTAGGCTATATACCAAGACCTGCCTGGCAAAATGGGTTATTACGCATATATTGGTGGTATACACATTTCTCAGACGTCTTTAAATGGCCAGTAAGATGTCTAAGTGAGTAAACGCACTTACACTAAGACTGGGTGAACACTAAACTCAAGCCCCAGGACCTATATGGCATATGTGCCCATACATGTAAACAACACTTACACTTACACATACATAAACTAAAATTAAAATGTAATAAAATATTCTTCAACTTGTGCATTTGTCCTTTCTGTTGTTCACAAACAGTGCCTTAATTAACAATTAGACCAACACAGCTACAGAAACTTAATAGAAAAGGAAGGAAGGAATAAATAAATGTTGATGCTGTTTGCTATTAGTTCATACAGTGACTTTAAATCTTTTTTTTTTTCTCCTCTTACTCAACTGCCGTTTGATCACTGGCTCTGGTCCTCCGGGAATGTGTGAAGAAGCAACTGAGCCAATGCTTCTGTCTGCTCTTTTCACACACCTTGTCCCTCAGCACCCATGACTTAAAGGGTTCAAAATAGGTTTCAAAGAGTACATCCATATCAAGGGGATTATATGAAGGTATTGGCTTTTTTGTGGCTAAAAGGATTTTTCATTTCTTCTCTCACCAGGGGAAAATGTTTGCCTTGAGCTAGCTCCCTGTGGCAAACCTCTTTGAAGAACAAATTCTGAAGTGCATTCAACCTTGTCTCCAGCTCCTTCTAGCCGAAGCGTTTAAAGGGGATATTGGGACATTGCCCATCGCTGCCTTTTGACTTTGGAAGGTTGTCTTAGCCTATGTGAATCTAGACAAATCCCCAAGAAGACTGTCTTCACGAAAGGGACTGTAAAAAGTTTTCACATGGAAACACTCTCCCAGAATGAGTCTTTCATAAACACAGTTGGATAAACTCTAAAAGTTTCAATAAAGTTATTCTTAAATTTTGGTGTATTTCGCCGGGCGTTGGTGGCACACGCCTTTAATCCCAACACTCGGGAGGCAGAGGCAGGTGAATACCTGTGAGTTCGAGACCAGCCTGGTCTACCAAGCGAGTTCCAGGACAGGCTCCAAAACAATACAGAGAAACCCTGCCTCGGAAACCCCTCCCCACCAAAAACAAAAAACAAAAAACAAAAAACTTTGGTGTATTTCACTCAGTATGCAAATGAAATTTCACAGAACTAGTAAACTCATCAATAAAGTTAATAAGAGATATCATGTAGAAATGCAAAGAGAAACCTGTGTCTACAGCAGGGTAGTCCAATCTGGGAAGAGGAGGAAGACACTGGAAGTTTGTTCCTTCCAGTGGATTCCAACACTCAAGTGCCTTCCCTTTACCCTAATCTCATTTTAATGTGCAGTTTTCAATAAATTTCACTCATTCTGTTGTTTAAAAATAATTTCCAAATTATGAAAACACAAGTCCCAGAAAAAAACCTCATCCAGCAAAGCTAATATTTCCCTCCATTTTACACACTGAGAAACCGAGGCTTAATTTCTTGTGACTTTGTGATGATCATCCATGAGGATCAAATATTTAATCTTTACGTTTCACATAGTTACCTTTACACAGTAAAGCTAAGTATTTAAGGTTAAATTTCAATTAGATGTTACCAATTCTATTAGTTTTCACTCTGATTATGAAAAACCCTGACCAAAAGCAGCTTAGGGGAGGACAGGGTTGTCTGGCTTTCAACTCCAGGCTCAAGGCCATCACTGAGGCCAAGCTAAGGCAGGATCTCCAGCAGCTAATCACATCACATCCACAGGAAAAGCAGAGCAGTTTGCCTACTACGAGGCGTGCGGCGTGCTCGCTGTGTGTGACCAACGTGTTTTCTTCATTCTGTCCAGTTCGGAGCTGAGCCCATGAAAACAGGTGCACTCACAGTCCGAGTGGCTCTTCCCACCTCCATAAATATAGTGACGAGCTCCCCACTAATGTGTCCACAGGCCAGTTTGATCTAGGTATTAACCCAGTCAGGGTTTCCTCCCAAAGTGATTCTAGGTTGTGGAAAATTGACACCTAAAGTATCCAGGGCAATGAAATTAAGTTAGCAGCCCAGAAAAATGCTATAAAAACAGAGACGGGTAGACCCCTGTGGGAACTAGCGGGGACACTCCTGTTGCATGAAGGACACATAGACAGAGATGCTGAGAAAGAGAGAGGTGGAGGGAACAGAGCCACCAGGGAGTCCTGAGCACAGGGTTGAAGCCTTGGCTAGGTAGGGCAGGTTCAAAACTGCCGTTGGTGGAGTGAGCTGGGCACATCCTTACTCCAAAACCACTCACAGAATCCCTCGTTTGCACAACGCTACATGTTGTCACTCGAGTCCACTGTGAAGCACCTCAGCGTTGACCTTATCTTCACTGAGGCCAAGGGATAAAAAGTTGTCTGCAAAACTGCCAGATTTGGGATTAGCACTCACACCCAGACCATAGTTCTCCTTCCTTAAACCTCGCTCTTAGTAGCTTTCCACATTTAAAGTTAACCTCTTAAAAGAGACATTCATGTTCCGTTTCCAGCTTCACCAGAAACATCTGATAGGAGACAATCATCCAAGATGTGGGTCCTAGCTGTACAATGAACTGGTTGTGAGCCCAAAAGGGTCACGGGAGAAACCCCGGTTAACTGGCTGTGAAGTCCCTGGTCGCTAGGAGAAATTTATGTGTGGGGTGATTTCTTCTGCCTTTTAAACTTTACTGGCACCGCAGAATCTTGCGGACAGCAGAGTAACACACCACCGGCACCGCACCAGCAGACCAGTATAGCATTCCCTTCTGGGCCTTAAAGACCGAGCCCAAGAGTGAACAGGAAGAATTTGTTTCGTTGCTGTCTGGTAAAATAAGCATCAGGTTGAATATGCGAGTCTGCTTCCTGATCATTTTCCGATCTCTTGTCCCGGGTCCCTTTTAGGCACAGTAGAAAGATCCCTGTATGGACTTGATGACACTTCAATACCCAGGAAGAGCTACCCTTGCACATAATGAAGGAGGTCTTTTCAATCCTCGCTCGCCCTGGGCAATCCCTCCGCCTGAGGAGAAAGGATCCTGGCCCTTCGTGTTGATTTGAAACGTAAGGGCAAAGAAAGAAACGAAAGGCAACTCCCCAAGGCCAACCCAGATTTCAAGTACCACTATGGCACATTTCTGTGAGAAGTCAGGGTATTCAAAATCGGGTTAATACAGAGCCTTGTCCTAATCTCCAGCTCCCGGAGTACCATGGGATACGTTAGGAGTTAGGATCTTAGTTAAACGGCAAATGAACAGCTTCATGTGGGGACAGTTCCGAGCCAGGACTGCCCCTTCCAGTGGGCAGCTGATACTGTGCAGGCATAGCCCAAGGGGAAAGATTGTAGCTGGGCCGCTCAGAAAACTCGGGAGGAGTCTGAGGGTGAGTGGTGCCGGGGAAGGGACGAATGAATAAAAGTACTTGTCTGGGGACAGCAGAGACCCCCGTGAGCTGCTGAGGATCCACTGCCTGGCGCTCCCTCAGTCTTTGCTCAGATCCAGAGCTGCCTACAGCTGAACGGAAGGAGCAGCTGGGATCCCGCTGCGAGCTGCAAGCCCCCAAAGCGGTTAGAGGACCTGGGTAGGAGGTTCCCTGCCGGTGGTTGAGCCTGGGCTGTCCGATTCCTCCTAGATAACTAATCATTTTGGTTTAGTGTTGAAATTAAAATGTGTGAGACTGGACCTTGCCCTCAGGATTCCCGCTTGCCTTAATAGTTTGGGGACTTTAAAATAAGTAAAATTACACATACCGGCGATTCACACTGAGATTGGGTTGAAAAGCGACTCAGTGAAGTCGCTTGGAAAACACATAAGTTGAAGCTGACTTTCTCTCAGCTCGTGCTGAGTGCATTGGTGCACGCCCTTGGCCGCTAGGTGCCTTCATTCTGGGGTCCTGAAGCTTAGCTAAAACGGTCTGGCTTCTTCCCGGCAAACACCAGTGTTCTTTCCCTGGGACACTCAGCCTCCCCTGTCTGGAACACCCCTGCCGGAATGCTCCGCCCCACTGCGACTGGTCTACCGCAGCGCCAGGAGCTGGGGATTAAAACCCAGCGAGCAGGGTCAGGAAGGAGACTGGATGCGGGCGGGCGAGCGGGTGGCGCGCGCCCAAGTTCCCCATTGGCGCGCAAACTTAAGTTACTGCTACGCGGGTAGTGGCGACAGGGCTAGTGTGAGTGTTTGCAGAGGCGTGGCTGGGGTGGCTGACAAAAGTGCCCCGTCTTCATTCCCCTGTTGGTCTCTAGACTGAAAGCAGCGGAGCGACTACCGGACTCCCACTGGAGCAAGCTGTAACATGCATCCACCAGCAAGCCAGTGCGGACGCGCCTTGGCGTTGCTGCTGGCCTGTGGCTTGTTGGGAGTTTGGGGAGAGGAAAGAGGATTCCCACCTGCCCAAGCCACGCCGTCTCTTCTGGGGAGTAGAGAGGTAATGACGCCACCCACCAAGACCTCCTGGACCAGAGGTTCCAACTCCAGTCTGACACGTTCCTCAGCACCTGCGGAGGTGACCAAAGGAGGGAGGGGGGCTGGAGTCCCGCCAAGATCCTTCCCTCCTCCGTGCCAGCGAAATACTGAGATCAGCAAGACTTTTAAATACATCAACACGATTGTGTCCTGCCTCGTGTTCGTGCTAGGCATTATCGGGAACTCCACGCTGCTGAGGATCATTTACAAGAACAAGTGCATGCGAAATGGTCCCAATATCCTAATCGCCAGTCTGGCTCTGGGAGACCTACTACACATCATCATCGACATCCCCATTAATGTCTACAAGGTAATGCCCCTGATCTGAGGGGCTGGAAGCAGGACGGGGTGGGGGGGGGGCGGTTAGTATGCGGAACCACCTTTAAAGTAACGGGGAGGGCTTCCTGAAGGACACTGTTCCTCTCTTCCTAATGACTAGTGAACCAGGTTTTCGTCTGGGCTGTTTTTCTTAGCCTCAGACAAGTGTAGCTTTCTAAGCAGTAACATTGTTGTTGTTGTTGTTGTTATTGTTATTGTTATTGGAAAGAACAGCCATACTGTTCCCAGCCCAGCCATACTGAACCACCGGCTCTGGAGTAGTTGATACAGTTATATATTTTTAAAATCCTTTCTACGTAACTATGACAAAATTTAACGTTTGAGAATCACAAGTCCGGACGTCAGCCTTTCTAGGTACAGCCTCCTAAAAGTAAGGTCCATAAACTGGGAGTTTGTCAGGGATGCAAATCTTCCCCAAACAGATGATGCACGGATGATTCATGGGCAAGGTAATTGTAGAGAGCATTGTTTTGAGGACCCAGAAAGTAGGGGGTCCAGTAAGGGTTTAGGAAAGAGGCCCAGACTGGTGAGTAAGTGAAACTCTAGTTCTTGGCTGCAAGTAGCATTGGATACTCTTCATGAAATAAATGCCCTGGTCCAAATGTTGAGTTACACATGTTCCTTCCTTTATCCACTCTAGCAACCCACAAATAGACGAGTTACTGCCATTTTATTCGTGACTAATAGGATGCTCAAGGGCCCCTCATGACGTGGAGATGGGGATCAGGATCCAGGATGTCCGGTTCCCAAATGTAAGCCTCCTGACATTATCTCCACTTACTTCCTGGACAAGACAGAGAAGAACTCTGTAAAACGGTCTATAAAAGTTTCAGTAGTTAACGTTGCTGTGATTTCCACAGTTATCAGAAGAAATAGGCTCAGAGAACAGGCAGGATATAAACATCCACAGTGTGACTCCAGGTAGTTTCAGAAGTTAGGTACCTGTGGCTCTCATTATCTTCCATTTGCCAATAATGCTTCTAGTGCCCACCTATGATAAATTTGTGATCTTAACCAAAACTGACCAAATGCCAGGGATGCTTAGAGTTGTGCAAACATGTGGCATTGTTTCCCATTGTTAGCAACAGAAAGTCACACATAAAAACAACCATAGTGTAAAGGAATGAGACTGTACTTGGCGGACTTGCTGAAGGTCAACCCTGACCTCCACACCATGGGAAGATAGTGTTAGTTTGGGGAAGTTCATGTAGCGTACTACAACCTAAGTGACATGAGTCGTTATCACAAGACAACCCTTGACATTTCCCTTCATCGTTCTCTGGGAAGCCTAATTCCAGTAGCCACATTTTAAGAGAATTCCAGACATTTCTCAGGCTTAGCGATGGGACATAGATTAGGATCCAGACCCTGGAGGAAAGTGCTAGCAGAAATACAAAGAAGGACTGCAAAACATCTGGGACAGCAAATGCTTTTGACAAACTCTGAGGGTTTGCCTGGAGTTACAGCCTGAAAAGTTCCTTAGGTACAGTCACAGCTCTGGTGGGATCAGAAGTGAACCACTTACTTCTTACAGAGTGACAAGTTAGGTCTTTCCATGGTGGCTGAGACACTTTACGGTGGAAAGTGTGGGAAATTTTAAATTAATCAAGTCTAGATTCCTCTCCAAAGTGGAGAGCATAATTTTCTTCTGCTAGGTATGCAGAGAAAGTCAATGGAAGTTCTATTTGGAGCAGCCTCGATTGGCCTACATGTTTAACCAAGTTGGAAACCTCCTGACATCAGCCAGCCATTGCATGGTTGTGTGGAAGGCAGGGCTGAGAACATTTTCTCTCCTTGTGTTACCACCAGACCAGATAGACATTGACTCTTCTGAGACCACTCTGCTTTCTGTCTGGTGAAATGACTATCTCAATAACCCTGAGAACATCTGGCTGAGCATGTGGGTTTCCTTCCAAGTCCCTCTGTTATTTCCCTGGGAAGTTACATCCTTTAGCCTGAAGCTATTCAATGTACTAAAGCTGTGTTTTTACTTCTGAAACAAACTGATGAGTCATCATACAACTAAACAGTTAGTCATCTAAATGTGTCTGAAACTTGGGTCCCACAGCTATGAGTGTCAACATGAACTCCTACAAGTCCTACGTTGGTGCCTTTGGGGTAGTTTGAGGCAACAACAGTAGCCGCTATTTATTGGTCACTATGTACTCATTTTATTTAATTAAATTACTTGGATGACATGACACAGGATGCGTTGCTATCAACCCTGATTTAAGTCACTGATGAGGTGCCGAAGTAACTCGCCTAGTATCACACCATTACAAAGTGATTACTCTGGACTTGAAGCCAGCTTATCTGGTCTGAGAGCCTGTAAGCTTCCCTAACACACTACAGCAAGAATGCTAAAATACAGCATGTCCTCCTCTACCCTGAGCTTTCTCAGGGCGTCAGCCCGAGTGCATAGGTGGAGTTGTGACATATGACCACATTAAGTAAGACACATGGCAAGCATTTCCAGAATTCATTTGAAATGTCAGAATTGAAGTCTGGGAGTCCTCTTCAGATAGTCTATAATGTATACTACTAGTGGGTGCTATTCTAAAGGCTTTTTACCAAAACACCTAAGATGAGTTAAAAGTCATTATGTCCCCCTAAATAATAATGGCAGCATAGTAACTTAAAAACATGTATTTAGAATTTCAGATCACTTAATATTATCATTACTAAAGAATACCTTTAGTGAACCATGACTGCTGTTGTAAATGTCCTCCAAGGTGAGAGCTTTGAGTTGCTAACTAAGTAATCTCTAACAGGTTGTTAAAACTCTCCTTAGAAATCTAATATATGCAATTTTGAGGGAGTCAGAGTCCCTCAGCTCTTTTATTGATATTTCCTAACAGCTCAGAAGTATCTTTCTGAATCTATTACATTCATCTGGAGGTTAATGAATACAGAGCTCAATAATACTGACAAACCACAGAATGTCATAACTCCTGTCAATCCATGAAGCCAGTCTAAAATGTGGGCAAGGTTTTGCATGAAGTCTGGCAAGGAGCTGACAATCTTGGGAAATCTACCACACCCTGCATGCTTCTTTATAGGACAGGGTTTCCAGAAGGTTTCAGTTGGGGCCATTCTGCTCCGTGGTGTCCTTTATCAAGAGGACCCTGTGCTGAATGCCAAGGAAGAGTTTCAGGAGACTGAGCAAGCTGAGACTTTTAAACACTTCAAACACTCATGTAAATTATGTGTGAAACAATAAGTCCTTTGAATCCTTCCCATCGAGATGCATGGGGCCGTGCTTACATTCCAGAACACAAAACAGCTGAAAATGTGGAAAATCTAATCATCCACAGTGTATATTTTAAAATGACACAAGGAGATGATACTAAACGTCATATGAATTTGTAGATAAATAAGTAGACAGATAACATCTGGTCCTGGGCCTAGTGCATAGAAAGCAAACAACAAAAGTTATCAGAAAGTTTGTGTTTGTGTAGTAAAACAAGAAGGGAAGCTGATGTTTGAAGCGTTCTTTTTTTCATCTTTTGTCATTGCAAACATGACTATAAACAATGACAATTCACACACACAAGTTTGAACACACGTATATGTGTAACTTCCTCTCAAGGGTAAATCTCTAAAACTGCAATTGCTAAGTCAATTTGTACTTGCAATTTTGCATTGTGTTATTACTGTACAATGTCGTATCTCCAGGTTTATATTCATGTTAACATCTGTGATACGATTGTGAATCACCAAGCCCACAATGGCATAGTGCGTTTATATACACCTGAACTAACAGCTGCCGTTCAAAAACCCAGTGTAAGGCTTAATCTCTCCTTACTCACAACCTGCTACTAGGTACTTCCTACTTGTACTAAAACGTGAGACCTTTACTTTGTTGTGATTGAGAACCTACTGCCCTGCTCCTGTAGTAGCCCCGGTATCAAAACTATGTAGAAAGCAAAAGAGTTGAGAGTACTTCTGCATGCTAAAGTGCTTTACTATTACTGGTTGGACAGTTCATTGTTGTGATTTGGTGTGTCTTAGCAGTGACATTTTTTAAAGACTGATGGCTGACTGGAGGTACATTTTAGGTTCTTGAGAAAATAATGAGACTTTGCATTAATTCAGTATTTCACTCAAAATGCGGTTCTCTTTTGTGTTGTACTTAAAAGAATAACTGAATATATATATATATATAATTCTCAAATAACAGCTTCCTTTTTGTGCAAGCAACTTGAACTTGCTTACACACTGGATTTCTATATTAACTACTGTGGTGAGGGTCTATCTAAATGCAGTCTATATGCAGTGGTGGTCAGGAGCTGAAAATTGTAGATAACACGCTGGAGTGCTCTTAGATGGCCTTGCTGTTAAGACTGGATATGTCTCCGTAAGAGAGAGAACTATGGAGGCACAGTCCTAGCAGGTAACATTTCTGATCTTTAACATTTCATACTTATGTTGGAGCACAGACAGCATTAAAATGCTGGCCTGTCAAAACGTAGGAGTCCCTCACTGAACCCTCAGATGAGTTTTGAATGAGGTATGGGGTGACTGTGGCAGGTAGTCAGGCATTTTCTTTTATCATTAGGAACAAATTCACTTTTCTCCTTACCCTACCCTGATCCCTTGTTCCTAACAATTTTGAGTAAAATTGACCAATTGGAAAAGTAAACACTGAGGGACCAGGCTCAGAGTTAACTTTTGAGGTGACAGTTTTCCTCCCAGTAGAGATGAAGCGTATAAAGACACAGCAATAGAGGAGGGCTCAACATCTCTGGGAGGGGAGTGTGGGCCTCCAAGTTTAATACCAATGCTCTCATTACCAGTCAAGTAAATGAGATATTTCAGTTATATCTTAGTGGCATTTAAAGATACTGTAACAGCAAAAGCATTTTGTGCCAAAAATGAAATTCATTTATTTAAAAAAGAAAAATAGAAGCCCCAAGTAAGCACATGAAAATTATTCCCTTTGGAAAAGAGCCAACAAGCGGGAAAGCTGTT